GAAGAAGGTAGTCAGTGGAAAAAAGGCAAATAAAATAAAAATAAGACTTGAAAATAAAGTGATTTTGTGTTCATTTGGTTCTTTTCAGATAATATTTGAATGCAATGACATCTGGCAAAGAAAACCTTGAAGATAAACCATAACTTGCTTAGTGAGCCCTGACCATAGTTACTGACAGAAATCTAAGGATGTGAAGATCCAGCATGCAAACATCACGCCACCATTATTTAGAACTGGCCTATACTTTGTGTTAAAAGTGAGGAGCACATCCAGATATCTTTTCAGGGAGATTCACGGCTGTCTCGTGAGGGGGAAGGAGATTCAACCGCACTCTTGCCATTGTGCAGTGAAACCATGGCAGCCTCCACTTCAATTTGTTGTCTTATAAATACTTCAGTCTTCCAGCTGCCCTGCCTGCATACATGCCAGCTGACCCTGTAACTGGATATTGTTAATGATATTGTTATGGTGTCGTCGTAAGAGAACACACAGCTAGCAATTGACAGAAACTCTGTTTTGTAATTTTCTGAATGCTACAGTCTTGGATTACTGTGTTGGCATGTGCAAATTAAACTGGTGTTACTGAGCTCAAGGAACTGCATGTTTTTCTTTTACAAACACATCTTTCAACCACAATAACCTCACTGACCCGATACCTACTGATCATAAACATTTGTCCTCGAAAATGGTCCCTTTTTAACAGGGATTTGGGGGGATTATTGATTTGAAACCAATCAAAATATTTACAATATATGAAAACACTTTGAGACCCCCCTTTTTACATCCATCATTTTGTTATATAAATGCTCATTAATTTTAACTGTATGATGTCTCTCTGAATATATATTTTGTTCAATACAATCAGTGAAGTTTTTATTTGACAAACTATTAAGGGTGTAAATCAAATAATTTAATATTTGAGTGCAGTGGACTGAAGTCGATTTTAACTTCCCAAAGCTCTTGTTCAATTGACATGCTTTGATGCATATTGTGTACAAAAGTAACATAACAGTATCCTAACCAAATTCTTGAAACTTTGTAGTGTGGATATGAGGTTATTTTCTATGTAGCGACAGTGAAATATATATGAATATATATTCAACAAATGACCAAATCCCTGCAGGTACCATACCATACCATACCATACTATATACAGTAAGTGTCTTCAATAGCATGTGTGTTTATGATGTATATGGTCTGGGGATGTAAAAATGGGAGGGAAATAGACTAACAGGGTTAGAAAGTCACAAAAGTGGCTTTTAGCTCTCAAGTTTTGAACACAACTGCCACCTAGTGACCAAAACAGACACACACACACACACACACACACACACACACACACACACACACACACACACACACACACACACACACACACACACACACACACACACACTTAGACACAGCAGGACTGTCACAATTGGTTTATTTTGATTGACTAACAGCAAAACAAACATTTCAGCAACTCCAATCCCAGCTCAATTCTTTATTTTTGTATTTGATTTATATAATCCAATGTTATTACAAATGTGATAATATAGATTATTTGTATGTAATTCCTCTATTTGGGATGAATTAAATGATTTATTTCTGTGACATTCATTCTTAATATATGTCTACTGAACTGAAAGTATTTTAAAATGTTTTGCAAATCAATAAGTTGTTTGTTTTAGTATAAACTATCATATTCTAACATGCTTTGTTGTGTTGCATTGGTCAACTGGATATGGATGGAAATGGATAACTGGATACTTGGATAACTTGTTCATATGAAAGTAAACATTAAGTTATATATTTCAGCAAGCAGCAAAATACATAATTGTTTTGTACTATTTTATTGAAAACCATCTTAAATCTGGAAGTTAAATTCGATAAGCGTGCCGTCCTGCATAACATCCGGCTGGTTTAAGATCACTCACTCCCTCCCCTAATCCCCCAGCATGCATCTCGCTCCAACTGTGACAGTTTAAAAATATCTCAACTGATCCCTCCAAGTACAATATGTTCCCAACAATGAGGTGAGTTAGTTCATCCCATCATTGAGACATGATGCCTGGCTGCCAGAGGATGGAGCCATTTTCCACCAAATGACTCAACATCAGCCATTACTGGAGAGATAAACCTGAGGAAGGAGGATACAGGGAGCAGGCACGTTACATGCCCCACTGGGATCTTTTGTCTGGGTGCTTGAAGGCAGCTTGGGTTTACTGGCCCCATTTGCACCATATGCCATGAGAGGCCTGGCTGTCACATCAGATGAGGACCTATGTGTGATGGCATAACTGACCGTGCAGCTTATAAGTGCACATTCATTTACTGTAAACCACTTTTTAACATACAGTTTAAATAGGTTGTTAACAAGATGTCAACACCAGTCAGCCGTACATTTACAGATTTAAATGTAGCCTATTTATTAATGTATGCCTTTTTAATACATAAATGTTTCATGTATCATCTTTAAATGTGAGAGCATAGAATAATGCATGTGAAAACATATCTCAATGAAATAGAATAGAATCCTTTATTGTCATTATATAGGTACAATGAGATGAGTAGAGCTACTCCTTTTTTTAAGGTGCCGTCAAAAATACAAAAAACAAACAGACGTACAACATTCAGGAGAAGACAACATACAAACAATAATTTGCTGGAAATCAGCTAATCCAGCTTTACTATTCCCTATATAGGTCTACTATAATTATTGATTTCAGGGCATTCTTAAGATCTATTTCCACGGTTCCACATAAGAGTTCTGGCTGCAGTGGATTAAGGCAAACCCATGGGGAATTTGATTGAAATGTTAGCCTGTTTAAGTTATGTAATATGGTGCACCAAAAGCTACATAATCCATATGAATCGTTATCCTCAATACATAGACAACCACAAACATGGTGTAAAACTGAATAGCAGCCACGAAATAATTAAGTAATTCCCGAGTGTACCTTACGTTAATTGTAACGCAAAAATAACAGTCGGTAGGCCATCTTCTAGCAAATAATTCACTAAAAAGCAGTGTTTTGATATGCCACTTAAACTATTAGCCTACAAAAAATTCAATTCATGTAGGCTATTCCTCTCAACCAATAAAGCAACTGAATTCTTAATAATGATTTAGTGTAGAGGAATCAATTACACATAAGCAGTCAGAAGGTATGCCATTCACTATATGACAAGCAAAACACAGAAACTATGTATTCACGGTTTTATACATTGTGCACTAATATCTGTAGGCTACATTTGTTCACGGTGAACTCTTCACAAATACAAAGATGGATGTCACCAGCATTAGCACGTAATTATCAAACCTATAAACTGTACAGAAGCTCCAACGGTAAATATATGCATATTGACCAACAATGCAAAGTATTTATATATTTTTACTGATTAGCATGAAGTCACATCATTATTAAGAGCAAGGATGGCGAACACATAATAAATCAAATGCTGTAACTAGAAATGCAAGGGAAAATAACGTTAAGCACATACGGCGGCTAACCTGTTAGCTACTACACCAGCGTGAACATAACGTTACGTTTCAGTTTGGCAGGCAGGCATGTTGTGTTTTCAACTGCTCGGTGTCTGGTGTTACATATAGCTAATCGATGACAACTATCATGTCTGCCAGTGCCTAGCGGGCTTATCTATGAGCTGCTGGCATGTGAAAGGTAACCTACTTAGCAATACCAGCAATGTTTATGCTGGACTGGAATCTGACACGCTAATGTGAGACACCGGTGCAGCTAGCGCCCAAACGAGTCACATAGCTAGCTAGAACACGGGATCTCTCACTAAATCAGGATTAACACTGAATACGAACGACTCGAAAACAATAGATACATTCTTTGTTAACGTGATATATCAGTGGATAATTGGATTAATACAGATTGCCCATTACAGGTCCGTGGTCATGTTTGCCAAATTAGCTAGCGTATGCTATTGCTAACAAGCTAACGCACGGCCGACTTGTTAGCACAGAATTCGGTTGACGGGCGTAGAGTCCAAACAGGCGTGAGGTGAACTCGGGTGTGTCGCAGTTTGATAGCAAAAAATACACTATTTTGAAATCCCACAAGCAAGGACACGCACTTTTCCGCTGTCTAGTGTCAATTCCTCAAAATGGGGTCTGCTAACGTACGTCTCCGCCATTTTGTGACAGGTTTTTCATTGAGCAAGGGGTACGTGTAATGGTTGAATGTAACCCCATCAAGAAGATATCCGCCTGGAACGGATCAGGAGTAATTTCCTACCATCTCGTGAGATAAAAGTCATTTTGAAGTGGCCAGCAAGGGATAGGGGCAGATCTCCACAACCATAACAAGTTTCCAGTGACAAATGACAACCATGATACAAAATAAATAAAACCCAAAACACCATAGGCATAACAGTGTTTGGTGTTTTATGTGTGAACAACCAACAACTATAAATAGATGTTTTCAAACAGATGGGGATTCATTTTGAATTGACATAATAAAATACCCTAATTGTTGTCCAAAACTTCCCAAATCAACAGGATTTAACACAAGTGGCACTGTATGTTAAACGGGATAAATAAAGCTAAAGAATAAGGCTATTGCTGATCATATTTTTTTTAATCAAAAGTTTACACACAGTGGTCTAAACAATGTCAATAAATAAAAACTATAACCGTCACCACCTGTAGTGAAAACAAATACATGTAGGCCTAAATGAATATCATAAAGGTAAATAAGCCTTCAGATGTTAAATGTGAAAAAGCAGTAAAAAAACAACATCTCATGTTTTATCAAAGGAGCACTGATCACTTATTTTAATAAAGTAAATAAAGTATAAATATCTTAAATACAATGAGGAATACTTATTTTGAAAATAATATGTGTGCCCTTATCCTTAGTTTGTCCTAAATATTGTATTTAAAAGACTGGATCAATGGATTGTATGATTGAGATGGCCGGTTGGTGTTTTAAAAATATTGCTGTGGTATTTGTATGAAATGTTTACAGGATTACTTTTTTCCTAATGGGAATACCCTATCTTCATTTAGCTAATATCAGCGAGGAAAGATACTCACTTTTAACCAGTTGTGAATATGCTAAGGCTTGGAAAATTAGTATTGATGAAATTAAGGGTTGCCCTCTATTAAACTCCTAGTTGGGATAACAAGGGGGCTATGTTAATTAGTGTTATCCCCTCCCCCCACGGGACATTTCCAAGTACCTCCTGACCCGTTTTCCAAACAGAGGAACGAGTTGTCAGACGGTCCCCAAAAAAGAAAACAGTCTCTATTGTTCCAGCAGCCGCTGTGCTCTGGACGGTGCAGTACCGCCTCTGGCCGCAGAGGGCGCTGCCCGCATGGCAGGCCGGGCTCCGCGGCCTTCACATCTTTTTGTCTGAGAACTGGATCCCTCTGCCGCTCTACCGTGTGTGCGATAGCCGCGGAGCTGCGTCCGTAACACACTGTCAAACCACTCCAAACGAATACAACCGCGACCAAAAGCATTAATTCTACACATCCTGCAATGGCGCTTCTAATCTGCCGGTAAATCGGTCGTATTTCTGACTGTTCGTTGGAAGTTAGTCCGGGGTTGAATCGGCTTGCTTTCTGTGTGCATCAGTCTTTATTAGCGAGCTGCCGCTCTTCTTGCTATCAGCTATTTCTTTAACTTTTTAAACACTCAGCTTCGCGAATGACTGAGCGCCGGCGGAGTATGGGATCCTTGGTGTCTTAAGAAGCGACTGAAGTGGGGTTTAACCGTTTTTGCATGCAAAAACAATGGCAAATTCGACGGGGAAAAATCTACTAGATCAGCGAAGGAAAGGACAGGCTTTCCTGGACGAGCTGCGGCAATTTCACCAAAGCAGAGGGTGAGATTGGGGCGTCTTTATTACCAAGAAATACAACTTTAAATTCCCCTTGCATGTGCTTGCGAGTTGAAGAAAACTGTAATTTAAACATGTATGCTTTTATTTCTTGTGTTAACCCCTCAGATCGCCGTTCAGAAAGATTCCTATCGTGGGTGGTAAAGAGCTGGATCTGAATGCTCTCTATATCAGAGTCGTATCTTTAGGAGGATTTGCTAAGGTGAGTGGGAACTAAAAGTGTATTTCTCCGCTCTGTCGGTGCACTCCCCGGTGGACCACTCTACAACTCAGTGTGGGTTCCCCGGGACCAGGTACCCTCCACACAGACGGTAGTGGGTCGGTGTTGGCCTTGTGCTAGTTTGCCATGTATCTCTATGCAATGTGGTGGTTTGTGTTGTTGTGTGGTTTGAATTGAGAGTCCAACCGCTCGGAGTCAGAGTGCAGTCGGAGCGACTCAAAATTAGCGGGCACGTTTAACATCGATTATCGGCACGGAGCCCGGGCTGGGAAAACACCGCGGAGGACACGGCGTTTCGCCCGGGCTTTTACCGGCAGTTTGCACCCAGGGGAAGCTTCATTTCTCTTTCTCACCATAGCCATCTTTCTTCGGCTTCATGGCTGATCACAAAATGTAGGCCTCACAGGCCCATGTAGTGAATACAGTACACGGTCCCAAAACTACAACCAAATGAGACGGACCACCGCGAGCTCAGGCGTTAGTTTCTCAGGAGAGACAGTTCGCGGGAGTTAGCCTCGTTAGCTTATCACAAAAAAAAATTAAAAGTCAAGTTAGCTTGTTAGCTACAGTGCTAACTAGCCTCAACAGTAAAGATACTATCCTAAAGGGAGTTGGGCAGTTGTACTTACTGTTGTGACAAATGTAAATGGGTTTGGATAACAAGCATATTATATTACATTTTACCAAATTAACTGATGGATTAGTTTATCTTTTTATAGTATTTTTGTCCATTTTCACTAGTTTGAGAAAGTTATTGATTAATTATTCTGAGATGGCCTCATTGGGGGACCTGTAGCAGACAGATGGTTGCAGTGTGACCGCTCTTTTTCTTGATGCTTTATCTCCTAACCAACTCATTTCCTCCTCTCAGGTCTCCGATAAAAACCAATGGATTGAACTTGGAGACGAGTTTCACTTGCCAAGGAGTTGTTCCAACGCTGCATTTGCTTTAAAACAGTACTACCTTCGGTAAGTAGCATGGCCATGCAGCTCTCCTCCTCTCAGGTAGCATGTGGGAAGTGTTTACAAATGTTCAGCAGGATCCAGCCTCTCCGCTACTAGGAAGCAGCACAGTTACGCCATTCTCACAGGCAAAGCCACGTCTTTTCTGGGGTTATTTGTCATGGTATGTAGATGACTACACACTTGCCTCTAACCCACATACAAGGAAAACATGGATCTGTCTTTTATAAAAATAGAAATATCTGGCCAAATGTCTCTTCTGTGTTTTGTTAACTCTGGAACATTTTTTTGAAGGACACTCTTGTTCCTAAGCCATACTCTAATGGCAGTTATTCCTATCTGAAAATGGTGTAGCCACAGGGCATTTGGGTTGTGATACAGCAATAATGATGGAGCAGCTCTTGGTGCTGAAACGTGTGTATCATTCAGCCTCCAAGTCTCAACGCTGTCAGCTGCCAGTGATAGTAGTCTGCTGGAAAGTAGCTCTCCTCAACAGCTGGCATTTGTGGTTTTGGTGTGTCTGCTTTATCTATCCTCCCCTTCTTCTACTACAACCAACCTCATGCAACGATTGTTCACATCACTAACACCTGCATGCAGGGGATTACACCTCTTGCATGGAGCCTCTCATGGATATGTTACAGCAACTGCAGGGCACCGGTTGATATCACAAGTAGTGGCAAATTATCTGTACCAAGTTGGCTTTTGATGGGAGTTATTGTGTAGGTAGCTTTCTTTGTTACAAAGTGTTCACATGTGAGACTTGTTGCTCCTCAAAAGTTCACAGATGCGCATCAGTGTTTGCTGCAGGGGCGAAATATTTCATGCACATGTAGGCATGTTGTGTAGCTGAACTTGATCTAAGCCTTTTGGAGTGCCATAATGGAGACAACCTACTATTTATCTGCCACTAATTTAGTGTTAATGCTGGAATACTTTATACATTATTTTCTCTAAAGTAGGAGATTGTGTTATTTTTGATGTGATGTTCTTCTCGGAAGCGCACATGGTTGTTAAAGTCTTTTCTTGCAGTGGAAGTTGCTATAGTGCAAGCATGTTGAGCTATTGTGATCTGAATTATTTGTGAACCAATATTCAATGGCCCAGACATATATATATATATATATTTTTTTTAATGGGCATACTTTTCAGTGTGCCTTAAGTAACTTTCACAGCAAGTAAACTGACGGCCTGATATGTACACAGATAGGCCAACACCTGTGTTTGGATCAGGAAGTAGTGTATACATACCTTATTCTGCACTTTCCCCCCCAAGAAATATCCACCTTTTTAAAACTCGGCTTAGCTAAGTAAGATTGACCAACGTTGCCCTTGTGTTGCAGCGGCGGCCGGAGCTACTTTGTGGAGTTTATCTTAGACAGTTCAGTGTGGAGGATGTCAGAGGCAGCAGGCGCTGGGCCTTTCTTGATAATAGACTGAAACACTCCTCGCCTCCTCATGCTGCTTCCTTCTGAAAGAGTACCATATAGAAAAAAAACCATTTCTCCATTTTTGTTGTTGTTGTGCATGTTCATTTAGCCTTTATACAGGAAGGTCAGAGGTTATATACCGTGACATGGTGGATATGTGTTTAGTGGAGCTGTTTCAGATTCAGAGCACGCAAGCATGGCTGTTTGTTTATCATGTGTTAATCTTCATTGTCCAGTTAAATGACCATCTGTAATTGTTATGAGGTGTGTGTGCATTTTTTAGGCTTTGTACACACAATCGGGATCATTTACATGTGTGAGGATTTGATATATTTAAAGCAGTATTGCTAATGTTTAATGAGATTGTAATTTGTCTGTTTTGGTAATAAGCTGCACTTTCAGTTGACAGCTGTAGCGCTGATCCTGATTTTCTTACCTGAGTACATTCAAATAAATGATCAGCTATAGTACAGACCTAGGACTTGTTTGATACAGGCAGTCTGTCTGTTGAACACGTTTCCAGTCTGAATGAATTGGACGATCAGGATGTGGCTCTCTCCGGTCAGCACTTCCCACTCAGAGCAGAGTAATGAGCAGCACTGAAGTAACGTGCCAGCCCCTGCTGGTGCTGTCTATTTCATATCTGAATGTCACTCCTTAATAAGTGTGCGTTGCTTGCCAGAAGCATTTTTTGGTTCATTTGTGATGCGTTGAAGGGCTGCTTGAACTTCAGTCCTACCAATGGCGCTGATTGCATTTCAACTTCTGTGGAGGAAGGGTTCACACTCTGGATCAAAGTGTTGGCATCACATCACACTGACGCACTAAAGGCATACATTAATACATTGCTGTTTCTGGCTCACTTCATTAGCAAGATTGAATTGAAACATATCAATTTAAATGAGAGGTGTGAAAGTTAGGGAATGCTGAAATAAGTGTTAAATGCAGGAGTAAACGTTGCAAAAATGCTTAATAGTTTGAAGATTTGGGGAATATTTTTGAAAGGTTTTTTGAGTTTGATATAGCACCCAAGTTATCTTTTAATAGTTTCTGTTTAATGTTCACAAACTGACCTGTTGACCCCTGATGTTTTCATGGAGAACCCTTTACATTTCCATGATTTGACAAACATTTCTCAGCTGTGTAATTTGTACTCTCAGTGGTTTGGTTTAGAGTTACAACTGGCTGCTTCCAGTCCGCTGTGGCTGCATTGATTTGGATTATTCTCAGTGAATACTTTTTCCCATCTTAATGACTTTCCTCTTCAATAGGTACTTTTATATAATTTGGGAATGTTTGCACTAAGCTCTCAACCCTCATGGTCAGGGCACAACATATTACCAGCTGACTGCTGTTAATGTGTGCAAGTGGCGAGTACCTAAGCGCCATTCAGCAGTACAAAAAAAAAGTTCTCTTTTTAGTTGTGTGTTTAATTGGAACATTGACATGGCATTTTGCTGGTGAACAGAAAAACGAACTTACACCTTGCTTGTGCAGCTACAGAGTTTGGATTTCTAGTAAAACAACACAGTTCTTTCAGATGGTGCGAAATGATCTAATACCGTCATATTGATAATGCAACAATATTGTATGGTTGACTATTGGTGCTTTCACAACAAGTAAACACAATCTGATCTTCTGTAAATAATGAGGATATAATCAGTTTTTAGACCTTAAATTATGAAAACAAAAGAATTGCACCACATGCATACTAGGGATGCTCCGATCGAGATCGGCCGATACTCACTCTCTACCGATCGATCGGAGCTCTCTAAACATGCCGATCGCATGAAGTAAAATACATGACACTTTTTCGTTTTTTCTCATACTGATATTCTGAACAATCTGTGCTGTTGTATTTGCTGTAAAGTGTCTCTACTGTAGGCTATTTTTTATTATATGTACAGCACTTTGGCTCGACCAAAAATCGTCTATAAATGTGCTGTATAAATAAAATTTGATTTGATTTTCTCTGTGTGCGGCAAAACAAGCTCGCCAAAATGGCTTCACCGGTCTGGCATTATTTTAAGGTGTCCGAAAAAGACAGTAAAATAGCGGAATGCAACGTGTGTGTGAAGCAGAAATCCTGCAGCTCCGCCGGACTGGTGAGCGGAGCGAAACACACAAGAGTTACACCTAACACACTTAGCTATTTTATCTACCTCTGGAACAAACTAGTTATAAATATATTTATTCTTCACTGTCGGGTCACTCATTACAGGATCAGTGAGCTGCACGAGATACTGACAGGCTGATTTCGGCGATCGGCCCCGAAATTGGCGATCGGAGCATCCCTAATGCATACTAACTTTGGAAGAGTTTAGCAATCGTGATTTGGGGGAATTTGCCTGATTTCAATCACAGCTTTTAATATGTGTTGGCATGCTCCCCACCACTCTGTCACAATGCTGCTGGCTGACTTTATGCCACTCCTGGAGCAAAAACTCATGCAGCTCAGCTTTGTTTGATGGCTTGTGACCAGGCTTTGTTGATTTTGACCAGTATTTTCATTTGATATCTGGGGGAAATGTTCTCAATAGTTTATAGAATAAATCCAAGATGTTAACTTTACTCCAAATAGTGGTGAAACCGCAGAAACTGAAACACTTGCTTGGGATTCTTACTTTTTCTGGAGCAAGAAAAAATATATAATTGAACTTGCTATAAAGTATCAAATTGGTGGAAAATATGTTGATCTACATTTGTGGTGAAAAAGGATGGTCCCCCATGGTGGATTAACCATTAAGCAGAGAAGAAGCTTACTGCAGTTGGCCAGTCTACAGGTTATGCAGTACTTAATAGTTAATGTATCAGGCAGTATGCCAGTAATACTGATTGAGTAAATAGTATTCCCTTTCTTCAGTCTGTGACTTGTTGTCCATAGCTGCAGCACACTGAACACAGACCCCAAGTCAGGTGACAGATACTGGCTCTACCTCTGTCTGCATCCCCATTGCATTGGGAGGAAAGCAGGCCCTGGAGGCACTGACATCGAGAAACCGCAGACTTAATTCTCCCTCAAAATGACTTTTGTCTTTTAAAGAAGTTTGAAAACATGGGTTCAAATGTGTAGAAAGTGGCTCTGTGAGAACCTGTCATGTCATACGGCATTCACTGTGAGAAATCCCATTATTTAAACATTTCCACGCTGAACTTTGATCTTTGATTTGATGTGTACAGCAGCCGTGTTCCGTTACATATCTGATTCATCATTGAGATGCAAAAGGAGAGTACAGATCAGGTTTCTTCTATTAACCCTTTGCAAGTTAGTCTTTTAACTCTGCTGCAAATGACAGTGTCAAATGTGAAGATAGAAAAAAATCTTTAAATGTAACTCTTTTGGCTGAATCAACCGCCCCAAGTTGCACACGATACTTCCCACACAGCAACATTATTACGCCACACTTCCATCTGTCTGTGGTGAAGAGCAGGTGCAATCAGGTTATCACGTTTACTAATTTCAGTCGATGCTTTTGATATTAAACTTCTGCTAACAGTTACCCATGATTCATTCGTTAAATTTAAAGAGATGACTGTTTCTAAAAACACAGAACAACAGTAAACGGCGGCCCAGCC